CTCATCTGTTACTTTTTCTGGGAATGACGCAAATAAAGCCGAGGAAAAGGCAGAGTGAAGATCTGTGAGAGGCAGCGCTGCACAGAGAGCTGACACCACGTAACAACCAGCCTCTGTAAAGTGGAATGATCAGCGGTTTTATCACCCATATCATTCTCGCTCTGCAGCCTCTCGCTAATCCCCTCTCCTCTGACTGTCTGTCTGGGACCCTTAATGGTTTCTCTGGCCACGGACGAAATTGATAACATCTGTCAGGGTGGGATAGGTGGACATCTAGAGAGAGGGCAAGGAAAAAAGGGAGGGGAATAGTAACTGAGATGAGGGAGGGCAGGTGAAGCATAGGAAAGAGGAAAGACGATTACTTTTCTACTTGAATCCAAATGTGTTCTTGTGGTTTTATGAGATAGACTCTGCTCCCTGGTACCTGGCAGGGTGTCAGCGAGCGCTAATGCACCAGATTTCTCTAAACATGCAAAGCAGCTGGGGTTATTATACTGAACTAAAACAAAGGTTGGATAACTAACATTTCAGTGAAGGGCTCACTTCTGACAAGTAATTAAGTATCGCTGCCAGGAATATGCGTATATGTATATACACAGAATGAATCACAACAACAAAGCTATTGACTGTTTGTTCGCCTGTACAATTATCCATTGTGCAACAGCACATGTGAGCATTGCTAGGATAAAGGTAGCAGGTTTAATAGTTTGAATTCATAATACTTTTTGAAGAATAGACCCCTGATTTCAAACCGAGAAAGACAAAAGCAGGCTTCTTGTTTCTAGCTGTCGATAACAACCGTCACCGTCAGATTTGACAAGCTTTAGCTAACTTTCTAATAAGCTAACATTAGTTCAATGAGAAAGTTAGAATGTTAATGTGTCTAGCTGACTTTGAAATGTTTCCAGCTGACTAATTTGAACAACAATCCTTTAAAACCAGCCCTAAATAAGCACCTGATGGCTACTCACCCTAACCCTAACCCTATCTATGATGTTGTGCTAAAAGACTGAGGCTAATAATGTCAACACATTAGCATCCTCGCTAGTTTATTATCCATGTAGATGACACAACAGAAGCAGCTTTGCACTAATATACTTTACTACACATAGAAAGTAACGGAAGAGGAGGCGTGCGGCGCAGTGGGTTGTGCATAGATGTTCGGATTAGGGGGTCACAGGTTCAAACCCCACTGCAGTCAGCATGTCGTTGTGTCCCTGGGACACTTCACCCCAAAGTGCTCCTGTGGGGATTGCCCACAGTATTGAGTATGTAAGTCGCTTTGGATAAAAGTGACTAATAAGTAACATGTAATGTAATGTAACGTTTAACAGTCATTTGTAACCCTGCATACTATTGTGTAAATCATGATATGCTAACACTTTGGCCTTGATAGTAGTCTAATGGCGCATTTCCACTGCAGCGGGGTAGCCCCGTTTAAGCGTCCCTAAGCTTCCTCGCTCTGGCCTCGGGCCGCCTCGCTGGCCGTCCGAGGCCGTGGCGCATTTCCATTACAGTTTAGGACCTGGGGTAGCAACGCAGTGTAGGCGGGGCGATCGGCTTTGTTTTTGTTCACATTTCGAGTTGTTCCGTCGAGCTCCCGCTGGATTTGATCATCCCCAATGAGATGAAGGAACGTCGTCACCTCCTCGGTCGACCACGGTGTGCTTTTCTTATTAGACGTAGCCATTTTTGTAGCTCCTCCGTTTACAAAATGCTGTTTATAAAAATGCTGCAAGCTTGCTTCTAGATATATATGCGACGCTAGGGATGAACTCGCGCGCGATCTTGTGACGATTCTCTCTGACCAATCAGCAGTCGAGAGTGTTGACGCCACTAGTTCAGCCCTGGCCCTGGTCTGAGGGAACCACGATTTTATGGGGCCGTAAAAAGAGGGAAAAAGTACCCGCTAGCCGGTACTAGGCTATATGGAAAGGCCACCAAAAACTGGCCTGGCCGCTTGAGGACGGTTAAGGACGCTTAAACGGGGCTACCCGCTGCAGTGGAAATGCGCCATTAAGCTCAAGTCTTGTTGCCGGTAGTATAGTCAGCCAGACGTGTTAATGCTTGCAGCTTTTAATAAAGTAGATATAAACACAGTTTAGGCTTTCTACAACACTCACTTGTTAGCATGCAACCGTCCAAAGCTTGACAGGACAGATTAGGGCGAGCGGTATTATATTTACCAAACTTGCAGTCATTTTGGGGGCATGTGCAAAAGTGGAAATCGTTCAGCACAAGCATCTGAGGTGTTCAACCTATACTTATGAAATATTTAACACTTGTAAGCAAGTGAAGAAAGTGTGAGCCGAAAGACACAGGTACGGAAATGTTAATCTGTGAGAGTTGTTAACAGCTTCGTCCATATTTCCATCTGCCCACTCTCTAGTCAATTGAGAAACCACTTGGGTTGGTTGGATCACAGAACCAGTAGGAATAATGGAGCTCTATCTAACGGGCCATGCTGTAAAATGTACCCACAGTTCAACAATCCGATGATTCTGTCTTGAGTGTCTTCAGTCCGTTTCTCCGTATATTTTCACACCAGTAAATCAGGGCATAACAAAGTGATTCCAGCAGTGGTCAGCTTTGTCTCTAAATGCTCTGAAGGAGACTTTTAGACCCCGGGTTCATCACTTAGAGCAGTGATACATGAGTCTGAATCACCCACCGGGAATTAGGGTTACCTGGGTCAATCTGGGAGAGTCTGATGAAGTGTAACCAAGGGGTGTTACATTGAGGATTTCCCCAACTCCAGTTACTGTAGATAAGAGTATTTCTTCTGTTCTGTATCATAGACTCTGTTTCGTGGTCTAAAAGTATATCTCCCAGCAACTGCATGCACCTGGGAGGCAACGCTATGCAACATCGTGGTGTTACATTTTCGAAATGGGGTCATTCTCAGGCCAGGTAGAAAGACGAAGAAAGTTAGATCTAGGATTTTGTGTGATTCTTCGGTAGCTGGCTGTAAGTTTCGAGGTTAGTTTGGGGCAACATGATTTGGACCACTTCCCTAATTTAACTGTATCTTCTAATGAACTGTAATTGCAATATACAGATACCTGAAAACAGATGTTGTACAAGTCCCCTGCAAGTGGTAGTATCTCCTCTTAAATCCATAGTAAATCTCATGCACGGGATAACAAATACCGTCATTGAACATTAAAACAACTGGCAATTGAACTATGGCTTTTAGATGATCCTCTATCCCGAGTTCTGGATTAAGTCGTGGACTTCGGGTCGTGGCTGAACCTGTCTCTGCGGTCCTGCCTTGGGTCTCGTCATGCTGCTTCCTTGATGGCTTCCACAGGATTGTAGCTGACATCCTCGTGGATTCATCTTCTTATTACAGACACATGCATTTCCTACCATTCGGTCTATATGCTGTCAAATGTATTATCTCTTCGATGTACACACGGCATCTATTGCACGTCTGTCCGTCCTGGGAGAGGGATCCCTCCTCTGTTGCTCTCCCTGAGGTTTCTCCCATGTTCTCTTTAAACTGTGGGTTTTCTCTGGAAGTTTTTCCTTGTACGATGTGAGGGTCTAAGGACAGAGGGTCTAAGGACAGAGGGTCTACGGACAGAGGGTCTAAGGACAGAGGGTCTAAGGACAGAGGGTCTAAGGACAGAGGGTGTCGTTTGTCTCATACTGATATTCTGAACAATCTGTGTTGTTGTATTTGCTGTAAAGTGTCTCTACTGTAGGCTATTTTTATTATATGTACAGCACTTTGGCTCGACCAAAAATCGTTTATAAATGTGCTATATGTGCTTTTAATTGAACTATTCATATCTTAGACTGCACTGTAACTTTTATCCATGTATTTTTTTCTTTTAATGTTTCTTTTATTAGCTTTTCTTTTTAATGACTGATTTTAAATGCCATTTTCTTAATCTCTTTCATTTTTTGTAAAGCACTTTGAATTGCCTTGTGTTGAAAAGTGCTATATAAATAAACTTGCCTTGCCTTGCCTATATAAATACAACTTGATTTGATGACTACTGGACAAACATTCCCAATGGAGAAGTTAAGAAAAGATTATAAAAATGCACTGTTTTATGGTTGTTTCCAATAACCACATGGGAGCAGAAGTGTGCTAAAAGGCTAGATGGATACATGTATACAAAGACAGAAAGATGGTTTCTTGGTAGACACTCAAACTATATTTACTAACTCCATTCTCAGATTATTGTTATCATCACTTGAAGCTGCGGTTCTGCACTTTGGATGTGTTGGTGGTTTACAGGGTGAGAAAAGCAAGAGAGAAGAGAAGAGTGAGTAAGGAAATACGTTTTGATATCCAGAGCGAGCAACCTTTTTAGATAATGAGGGTTTTTAGAGACTTTCCAGCTGGTTTTGGCCTTTATGGAGTTCAGAGAACAGACTTCAAATGTTTTGACTTGTCTCGTACATTTATATCCCGGATGGGCTGGCTCAGTAGCACTTGCACTTTTTACAGCAGCACCCTGCAGAAAAGGAGAGACAAAACATGCATCTTAACGCCAATTATAGCTAATGCAGTCATCAGGACCCATAATTACAGAAAGGTCACTGGAGTTATATAATCTTGTGGTGCGTAAAATACGTTTAAATGCAACTCAACAGAGGCAAACAAGACTCTGTGGTGATTACTGTCTACATACGTTTTTTGTAACCCATTTTAATGATTTCAATGATTGGATTAGTTCCAATTACTTACAGAACCTTTTGTTCTTGTGCACGCATTTTAAAAACTAAGTGACATTGGGTGCAACAATACCAAAGCAAATACAACTTGATGGTATCCCAAAGTGGCTTTTTACGACCTATTTTCCTGTGTGTGTGTGTGTGTGTGTGTGTGTGTGTGTGTGGTGTGTATGTGTGTGTATGGTGTGTGTGTGGTTGTGTGTGGGTGTGTGTGTGTGTGTGTGTGTGTGTGTGTGTGTGTGTGTGTGTGTGTGTGTGTGTGGTGTGTGTGTGTGTGTGTGTGTGTGTGTGTGTGTGTGTGTGGTGTGTAGGTGGCGAGGTGACGAAGCCGTGGTTCACTCAGTATTTCCGGGGCAGCCTCTCCGGACTGACCATCCGACCGGGGAAGATCGAGAGTCAGAAAGTCATTTCCTGTCTGCAGGCGTGCAAAGAGGGACTGGACATCAACTCCCTGGAGAGCCTGGATAAAAACATTAAGGTATTTATTTATTCCAACTTGTATTTCTGTTTTTGTACTGACGTATCAAAAGTTATATAACTTGTGATATTGAGACAGTGGTGTCATTTGAGTAAGTATATTACTCAAGTATTGAGGAACGGCTTTTCCACACACATTGCACAACGAAAATGTGACTTTTTCAAGCTTCAAATAAAAAAAATATAAAAATCTCAAATAAAATGATAAGCAAACTTAGAAGGTCTTTGTTGCTGTTTATGTAAAATAATCAGCATCTTCCATACAGGTTGTCCATGTGTGCCTGATAACCTTTTTGCCACTAGGTGGGAATATCAATTAAAACGAAATGTTCCCTAACGTTAAAATAAGTTAGCAATGACATTTGTTGAAGGTGGATTGCGTTACCTTCAGACGAATCCGTGGCAATCTGTATGCTAAGCTAAGCTAACGGGCTGCCGGACATACAGAAGGTTCATATTTACCATAAAATAGGTCTTCTTTTCTTACGAGGGGAAAGTAAGCAAATAAGCACATCTCTCCAAAAGTGATACAAGTTCTGCAAAGTGTATTTCCTGTTAGCAGCAGAAGATGTTTGGACAATATCCCTGTGTCTAGTGAGTAAACAAACCTTTTTGATCCCAGTTGACACAGACACAGTACTCCTCTAAATCACCATTTGGCTTCTTTGAAACCCCTCAGACGGCCCCCACTTCCACCAGCTCAACTAATCCATCTCCCTGCTCTGTGTGAGATAGAGGGCAGACAAGATGGATATGGGTTTGTGTATAGACTCAAAGCCGGCCCCCTACCCTCCTCAGACTCTTTTATCTTCCTCTTCTTCCCCCTCCTCTCTCCGTCTGCTCAGTCCACAGAGCTGTGGTGCAGCAAAGAGGTCCGTGCCAGCCTTTTTGAGAAGAGGAGAGGTGATGAGGAGAGGAGGACAACCCCTCCAGGGCCAGTGTACTTTACCTTTCAAGAGCTATTTCATTTTCTCCTTAGCCGCACACTCATCTGGCTCCCAAAGGTCCAGGGGAGGCTTAAGGACAGCGTTTAGCCGAGCAGGTTCAGAGCTGGCGCAGCACAATGAGAGCAGAATTACAGCGCGGGGAGGAAAGACGGAGGGACATATAGGCGGCGAGTATATCTACAGCAGATGAGAGGAAACAGCCGCATAAGGGAAGGTTTGAAGGAGAAAATTGGAGCCTTGAGAGCCCCATGGAGCGCTGAAGTACCGTCCCCTGCTGCTGAGGGCCAGTTTTAGGAAATGGGAGACAAGTTTAAATGAAAACGAGCCTCAGTTCCCCGCCATCAAACCCTGCAGGAGAACACACTCCTCCAAAATGATGCTTGTGAGGAGAAACCACCAAGTATTTCATTTCCTCTAGACCAGGGGTGTCAAACTCAATTTCATCGCGGGCCACATTCGCATAAAGGTTGCACTCACGATATAAATATATAATATAAATATAAAATAATGTATTATATTACATTATTGCCTCTGAATTGGATTATTATCGGATAGGATAATAACTTAGTAATTAACTACGTCTGAAAGCAGAAGTCCACGTCTCTTCAGTGCGCATGTCACAAAACGAGATGCATTGTGGGACATGTAGTTTATGGGCAACCTGCTTCTGTAAAGTGGCATGTAACCGGTATAATAAACTTATTATATTCTTTGCAAGCTCTTACGAGGCCACATAAAATGAAGTTGCGGGCCGGATTTGGCCCCCGGGCCTTGAGTTTGAGACCCCTGCTCTAGACCTTAGTATTGCCTTTCTTCCATCTGTGACATTTGTGTCCTCCCAGTTTGACTGTTTAAAAGGCGGGTTGTCAAAATCACCACCCAGTGTTACACCTACAGTACTAAGCCATATTTAATCCAACTATTACAATCACCACAAGTTGTTGTCAATAAAACAAATGTACACATATAATATTGAGTTTAAATAAGTACTGTAAGTAAATATTAGGTTCAACTTAATAGTATTGCTTTCAACTATCCTATTACAGTGATGTGAAACTTGTTGACATAATATATTTAATTAACGTCAATGTTACAGTTTTTTCAGTGTATCCTGTTGAATTCAAGGGCCATACAAGTGTTTCCTCCATGTTTTAGACCAGTGGTTCTCAAATGGGGGTACGCGGACCCCTAGGGGTACATTGGAGTACTGCAGGGGGTACGTGAGATTTATTTTATGTTAATGAAAAAAAAAAAAAGGTTTGAGCAGTGTGGTTTTTATATGAACAGAGTTACACATATTTCAAAACACGAAGTGTAATAACTGCAGTTTGCCTCGCTGTCAGAATGACAAAGATCCTCAGTGAAGCTCAAGCCCATGTTTCTCCCTACATTGTACAACTTATTAAAAAGATCAGTTCAATGTAACTAATGTCGTCTCAGTGTTATTGCATGATGTTAAAATTGGTTTGCCATGAATTTAGTGATGGATTGTAAACATTTGAAATGTAGCATTTAAGTGTTTCTCAGTTACAATGTTGTTGTTTTAATAAATCAGACACCGATGGTGCAGCGCTGTGCTGTACCTCTTTAAATAGGCATTTCTTCCCTAACAAATTGTGTTTGCGCTGATCAGGGGGTACTTGGCTGAATTTGTTTTCAAAGGGGGAACATTATTGAAAAAAGTTTGAGAATCACTGTTTTAGACCATTTTAAACAAGTTACACAGATACATTTTTCTTCAATACATCTACTGTATGCTGCCCTTATTTTTGTTGATCTGAAACTACACCTCAAAACACGAGGACACATTTTTTTGCGTTTTCACGGAAATGAAGTACGAACATAGTTTTAATTTGTTATGGATTACCCAATGGAAGCAAGTTTGAATATCGCATATCCTTTATCTGTCCAACATTTGGGACAGAGCAGATACACGTTAATAAAATGCATAAAATCAAGCACACGTTAATGAAATTGAATCAAATAATTACACATCCAAAACATTATTAGTAGCAGTGTTAAGAGAACTTGTGAAAGTAGTGAGTTAGCATCACTGGCGGCACATATCAGACCCGGGCCGGGGGGCGGGGCCACATGACCGGGCCCTTTAAACCCAATAAAGCTTGACAAAAATATCGGGAGTCCGGGGTGGTAATCTGACGCTCGTGCGTAAAAAGTCGCTCAGTCAGTAAGATTACAATTTAAAACAATGTTTGAAAGAAAAGTAACTAAAGAAAAAGGTGTAATATTTAAAGGGATAGTGGAAATCTGCGAATTTTGGGTTTAACTTATGTATTTTTATTAAAAAGAAGCATATTAAACAATTTTTTTTAATTTCATCCGCCTAGTTTCATTTTATTTTCAATTTTACTGCGCCCTCTCAATGAAACGAAATACTTCGGGAATCGTCGGGAATCTTCGGGTGATGACGAGAGCTCAGGAAGACGGGCACAAACAATAGCGGACATTCAATAGCATTTGCATGTGAATAGCCGACCTTTATTATGGTGAATAGATGTGTTTTGTATGGCTGTAGTGCGACAGAAAAATTCTACGTGACACAACGACATTGGATTAACCTTGAGATGCGTTTTTATTCCGTTGAACACAACTTTTGATCACAAATCAAAAAAGGTAAGACGTAATTATTGTAATATTTTGGAACCGGATGTTGTTTACTTTCTCTTTTCTGGCTGATAGCTCCAGGAATTCGAGGTCTTACAGTGATGACATTACATGTGTGGAATCTGTGGAGTCTCAGCTTTAAATCGTATATCTTGTTTGTGCAGTTAAGATAGTAATAAGGGCATTTCTACCGTGTGTTGTGTGTAAAAAAGCGTTAGCATTAGTTAGCATTGTTTCGCTCAATGCTAATTCAAAGGCTTGGTATTACTCTTGTGTTTTTTCTAGCTAACAATTGTTCTTATTGTCAGTTAGCGGAGTTTCTTACCTTTAAAAGGGTATGAAACATTAATAGTTTCATAAATGTTAAGAAGCCCTGAGACATGTGAGAGAAAAAAAAACTGTGGGAGGGGTCCACTGGGGGGACCTTCGGCCTTAACTGGTTAACAATGATTAATATTTGTAAAGGCTACAGGTGATCTTAAGATGCGTGAGCTATGCTTAGGGACCTACCAGTCAAGATTATTTGTGCGTAGGGGTGCATCATCTGGCGCCTGGTCCTGGTCATCCTCGCCATTGCCCATGCCGTGAACCATCACCTCGGGCTCGGGCTCGAACAAATAAGGACGTAATGGTCCATCTTCTGGCTCAATATTGTCACCATCGTCGCTTACTGAACCGGATTCAGATTCAGTTCCTAAAACGACATTTTCGTAGGAAAGCCGAGAGGATGTTTCTGACTCGCTATCATCACTGGATACCTCGTACAATCCTTCTTCTTTGTCTGGTATATTTGCCCTTCCACGTTCATTCTGCATAGACGCCATGGTTTGTTATCGTATCGTCTTCCTGAGTTTTCGTCACTTCCGGTTAGGCTGAGAAACATTTCGTTTCTAAAAAACTTCGGGGAAGCTGCAATAAAGTGCTTCTAACATGCGTAAGGCAATTATTATATTTTTTTAATCAGGTGTGATTGTTTTGGTACGTAATTATGCTTGTATATAAGTTAAAACGAAACTATTTGAGGTTCCATTTCCACTATCCCTTTAAGATTTCGTTTTTACAAAGGGTATAGAAACGAATATATAACAGAGATAATAATGATATAACATGACATAAAGTCCAACAAACCACAAGGACAATGAAAACATAGCCTAATAAAATGACTACATTTCTGACACACCATTCACCATGGACAGCCACCATGAGAGCAGAGCAGTGTAAAATTGGCACGGCGGCCCATACATTCACGTACAAGTAGGCTACTGTACAAATTAAATTTGAAGTGTACTCACCACTACTTGAATGGTACTCGGCGAGCCTTGCGCTCCGCGAACTTGTCCACAATACGCTGTATGTCCAATTTCTTGGCTCGGTCACTTTCGATGGACAGCAAGAACAGTCCACTCAGTCTCTCCTGTCCCATCGTGCTCCTCAAATAGTTTTTGATGAGTTTTAATTTGGAGAAAGAGCGCTCGGCGGTTGCCACGGTGACAGGAAGAGTCAGAAATAAGATGAAGGCTGTGCAAACCTCACTGAATGTAGATGTTACTGCTGGGTTGTAAACAATGAGCATTTTTACCAGATCCGCGACAGATTTTAGTTTCTGTATTTGGTCCCTGAAACAGGTTCTGAAAGAAAGCAGCTGGCCAGGGAAGCTGGCGGCGATGTCCCGACTGTAGTGCTCTCTAAGCCGCTGGGCAGCTTGGTGTAAATCCTCATCCTTTGCTTGCAGTAGTGTGTTGGGGTGAATTGCCTCAAACATGTTCACAGTTTCATTTAAACTGGTGAATCTTTGGGACAGTTGCTGGATGATTATATCGAGACATGCATTGAAAACGGTCACCCGAAAGTTGCTCTCTGCGTCAGTGAGGCGGCTGTCTTCAGAAAGTTCATCAAAGTGTCTCTTAACTTTCCTGGCCCTGGTTGTTTCAAACTGTGTTTGACTTCCCCATTTAGTAGCCAGGGCAAGAGTGTCCGGTACTTCTTCACCTTGCGGCGCAGCCAGTAAGGAGCCGGAGGGGGAGGGGTGCGGCTGGTCAAGCGTCAGGCCTGGCTCTCCTCTAGACGAGCAGCTAGCAGCTAGCAGCTGCTGAGTCGTCCCTATTATCATCATCACTACAGCCGAGAGACAGAAAAGGAAATAAGCTAGGCGGCCGAGCTACACGAAGTAACAACAACCATATGATATCAACATTTACCACAAACTCACATTTTCTTGTTGACAGTGTGTGGCCGTGATTGTAGCCTACCTGTAAATCTGGCTAACCCCCACTAACGTTGTTGGCGGGCTGGGGCTCGGGGATGAAACACGGCTGGCGAAAAAAATATCCATCGAGCTTGGACAATTTGGCTTTTCCTTGGTCCTCCTTTTTTATCTTTTTCTTTGCATTTTGTAGCTCCACTTTTGTGTTTATAACTGCTCATGCTTAGGCAGTGCTCTGTTGAATGACAAGTGATTGATGATGACGTTGACGTTCATTTACGTATGGTGTTGATGGACGGCTGTTGATGACGATTTTACCCAAAATACATTTGGAGACAATAGAAGGAATTCACTTGCCATTTTTCATGTTTTAATGTTAAATGTGAGTGTGAAAATAGCAGAACAAGTTCAACTCGTATTATAGGCTACAATGCTTTATACCTAATATGACCACGAACGTCAGTGCACTCAGTGGCGCTAGGCAGCAGGGCCCGCCCGAATATCTCGGGGGCGGAGCCTGCTGCCTCGGCGACGGGCCCCCATTGGGTCCCGACCGTCCAGGGCCCGGGGAGCCCTGCCCCTACAGCCCCCCCTGAAGCCCCGCCCCTGGTTAGCATCACTCATACTGGCTCAGGGTCATACTGCTGTGAAAGAAATGAATAGAAGTAAATGGCTGACTAGCGTAGGTTACATAAAAGTCACTACTGCTTTGGACAGCTTATCCATTGCAATTACACAGTGGAAATAAGTGAACCATTAACGATTTACTTTATTGTGACATGTTCTGACCGTCAACCCACTTTTTTAGAATTGGTTTTATGTGATTTTATTGTTTTTCTTTATTACGTTCTACTTGTTTGACTCTCTGCATTGGTTGCTGATTGTATTGTCTGTGTGTATAAATGGTTTTATTGTATGTGAAAGAACTTTGAAAGGTGCTCAACTAATGCATTTTATTATTATTCTATTGTTAAAGCTGTGTCACATTGTGGCCACTCGGTAAAAATAACAGACGGAAGCTTTTGAAAGTTTTAAGGACTCACCGAGGATAAAGCATCACGAGAAACTGCAGTTATAGAAGTCTCAGTCAGTTATATATCCGTCTAACATCTGTTTTTCCTCTTTGTCCACCAGTTCCACTTCAACCCGGCTCAGTCTATCTTGGTAATGGAGGGAGAGGACCTGGAAAACATGAACACCGCTGTGAGGAAAGTCGCCTACATAAACTCTCGTCAGTTTCCCACACCAGGCATCCGGCGTCTGCACATCTCCACCACCGTCCAGTACGTACTGATGACTCCTTCTTTCCCTACACTTCAATCAGGAGAGCCATGCTTTAATGCAGGGGTGGGGAACCTCCGCCCCCCGGGCCGAATACGGCACGCGAGACAATTTGATACGGCCCTCGAGGTAACTCACGCAAAAAATAAAAACAATTAAGAAATATAGACCGCAAAATAATTAAACAAGCGAGAACCTGTTTTTCCTGGCCACGGTCAGGGTCCTTGAACACAACACAAGCCTAACGTGTCATCACGTGGTATATGTCTCGTCCGACAGGGGTTTAGAGCTATGGTTTAGAGCTGCCGGAGAGCACCAGGACGTCGCTCCGGCCGGGACTTCACAAATGTCAGTAGGCTGCCAATAAGGAACCTGTGTCTTTAGCTGAAAGCCCAGTGGTGATCTGTTCATCTGTCATACTGATCATACAGTCAATAACTGTTGTTATTAGCATCTGGTTAGCTAGCTATGCTAACGAATATAAGAAGCTTTTTCTCCAACCAGTGAGGTGAAGGCACATCTTTATATGATCATTATAGTTATAAAAACATAAGAGAATAAAGTAAACAGGTATAAAATACTATATGACAGTAAAAAAAAGTTGTTATTAATAAACAACAATACAGTTTGAAAGGGGAGTGATTTGTAAAATATCCATAAAGAAAAAGAAAATCTGCTTACAGTTCTGTTTCATATGGGTGTTGAGAGATGTATCCATAGATCTCTTAACTCTCAAAATGCACCAGATTGATGCTTTTCACTTCAACATTTAAAACAAAAAAAAATCTTCCCGGGGAACGTGCCCCCCGGACCCCCCTAGAGGAGGATAGGTCCCCCCCCCCCCCCCCCCAATTAAATCATATTCACATGGATAGGAAACTAAATTGCACACATCTTGTGTCCATATCTTTCTGTTTTGGTGGTCATGCCACACCCTGCACGTGCATGCGTGAGTCATGGTGAGATATCTGGATTCAGAGGTTGCTTTTTCTTTGCACAGCATGAATGAAAGGCCAAATGAATGGGCTGTGATTTTAGTATTTTTAAGCAGAGGTCAATAATTTGTACGGCCCTTGGAGGATGTTATGAATATTGAAATGGCCCTTGAGAGGAAAAAGGTTCCCCACCCCTGCTTTAATGTAACAATATATACGTATTGCCTAGAATACACAGATGAATGTACTGTAATGGTGTTTGTGTGGGAGTATCATCCGGGAGGGGGATACCGAGCAGATGAAACCCCCCCTGGGGTCTAGACACTGGTGGTGGTGAAAGCATGAAGGGATTGATGGAGGTCGTTGACGTGAACCCTTGTTTTGGAGGAATGTGAGGTGGAAGGGGGGGAGAGAGTAGATTTGAAAGGTTTGACAATGTTCTATGATTGGCTTGTGGGAATAGATATGGTTGGTTGGTTTAGCTGGGGAGTGAACGCCCCTGATTGGAGGGGTGAGCGTAGTAAGAAGGAAATATGTGAATGACAGATATAAACACGGTCTTCCTGGTTGAATTTGCGCTGAGCTTCATGTGTGCCTGTCTTGCTTATTTTGTTTAAACTTTATTATAGCATTCCTGTCCTGTTGTACTGATTCCTCTGCGTCTCCTCACACAGATTTGAGGAGTGTTACCCCACCTCGACACTAAGTGTTAACACAATAGATATCACACCCTGACTGATACTTAATTTCCTACTTAAACACCTCTCTCTGTGTCTCTTACAAAATCAAAAATGCCTTGGGAGTAAGGGATTACAGATAACGGGATTCTGTAATCAGGATACAGAAAAGTTAACTGTATTTCCTTAGGCCACGTTCACACGGAGACGAAACGGGTTGTATGCGCTACAGTTCTCTATCGTATGGACGGTTCGTCCACACCGGCCGTAACGGAACCGCGGAAACGGAGCCCTCAAACGATAACGGCTCCCAAGGTGGGTAGATCTGCGGACGAAACGCTCTTGGGGGCCAAACGGCTCCGTGTGTACGTCCTATACGATAATTTCCTTAGCCATAGCCCTGCCTCTCCCCACCTCTGCTGCTCACCCCCCCGTTTTGCCAACAACAATAACAACAACAAATACATTGTTAGAGTTAGTTTTTTATCGTTGGCAAAAGCAAGAGTGTATTTTAGATTCCTCTTTCTGATAAACAACATCAATACGTTTTTAACCCATTGGTGTTTGACCACAGCTGTGTCTTTTCTTTTTTAAAACATCTTATTTATTAGAAGTAAACCGTTCCTATCTCGCTGTAGCTGTTACTTTCCTTTGCCTTTAATATAGAAGTTTCAGTTTGCTGTTGCCACCGGGGGCCAGTTTTAGATTTTGTATTAAATATTCTGCATGGATTTTGCCGGAGGAGAAAGACAGAGATGTATAAAAAGAGAGAGAACGAGAGGGGGGGGGGGGGTTGAGAGAGTCTGGCTGGTGTAACAGCCTCTCTTGAGGGTTACCATTAAAATTCATGATTGTTTTAAATACATGTAGACCCCTGCAGCGCAGCCGCGGGAAACAAGCTCCGCCCCCCTGCCCCCTGTTGGGTTCGACGCATGGCCGTGGGCCCGAAAACTTAGACTAACACAGCGTGTGTGTGTGTGTGTGTGTGTGTGTGTGTGTGTGTGTGTGTGTGTGTGTGTGTGTGTGTGTGTGTGTGTGTGTGTGTGTGTGTGTGTGTGTGTGTGTGTGTGTGTGTGTGTGTGTGTGTGTGTGTGTTGCATAGGCTAATGGTGATGAAGCTAAATCACCGGAGCTGGAAGCACACAGATTATTAAGGATTAAATTATGCCAATGACGTCTAAACTTGAGTTGTTTATATTAAGTTTTACACACAGACTGCTGACTGGTCTGCTAGTTGCTCAAGCTGTGTTTGTGTGTGTGCGTGGGATGGAAACAGGCTTAAGAATATCTTGCAGATAAAGTATGTGTGGCAAATGTGGGCGCCATTCAAAACATATGTGAATAGCCTCATGGTGATGTTTATTTTAGCCTCCAGTTTATTCTTATACTCGAGTCGAGACCAGTGAAAGAAAATCTCCTCTTTAAGTTAGTAACACCGAGAGCTTTAAACATCCTGCCATAACACTGAGTGCTCAGAGATGGTAGATATTTCCTGCCAATGCAATTAACCTTGGTTCTTGCTGATGCGTTGTAACTGCAAATGACTGCGGGCATCGAGAAAAAATAATGAAACAAACGCTGCTAATCTTACCTACAGACGGTGTGAAAACCCTGTGATATTTCTTCTTTATGACAAACCTCCCACTCCTGATGGAGAGTATGAACACATGATAAGGAAATAAACTCTCCAAAAAGAGACACTGCATTGCATCCAGTTTAATCGATGTGAAGTTGCAGAAGTGTTCAACTTTAAAGGAGTTTTTTTCTAATGCAACAAATATAAAATAAAATCTAGCCTCTTAATTATTTCTTACTGTTAATTAACTTCTCATTAAAGACCTAGAAGATAGAAAGCTGGAATATAGCTTCATAAAAATTACATTGTTGACAGTCAGGAAAAGCACAGGTATAAGTTGATACAATTTAATAACTACAGAGCCGGCCGGCTAACCAATAAGAGCAGACTGGGCTCTGGTTTCAGACAGAGGGTGAAAAGAGGTGCTGCACCACAGGCAGTATGAGAAAAATAAAGAGCTTTTTGAACATTAAAGCATGGAGACATGTCACAGGAGAGACACTGAGTACATGAAACCTGAAAGTTAGCATAATAGGTCCCCTTTTATGTGAGCTAGACCCAGTTATTGTAAAGTTGCATCAGCTAAAAGGGGCTTTGAATGGAACCGAGTCACCGTTAACAACCTTTTCTATATGCTTTTCTTGCTCTTATATTTTAAAACATATGACAAACTGGTGTTGGTTGAAATAAAATGTTTCCTTATTCAAAGTTGTTTTAATGTGCAGCCTGCTGCAACATGGGACATACTGCATATACAGTATATATATATATATATATATAAATGAAGATATAAACAGCAGCTTCTACTGAAAAATAAATGCAATTCCTGGTGTTTGAGCACAGGTGCCAGGAGAAAATATCAGTGATTAAAAAATGATTAGATTTGATGAGAGGAATTCACTAGGGTTTGTATACACATTTCTTTGCTTCACCGAAATATATAAATCATACAGAAATGTGTGATTATCAAAAAAAATACAGATATTTTCCGTTCATTATTTTCTATAAAAACGCATCTTTGCTCAGGAAAAAAAGACCTATACCGGCCTTTGACATGACCACTGAGTTTATATTCCCTGTGTGTGTGTGTGTGTGTGTGTGTGTGTGTGTGTGTGTGTGTGTGTGTGTGTGTGTGTGTGTGTGTGTGTGTCTGTGTGTGTGTGTGTGTGTCTGTGTGTGTGTCTGTGTGTGTGTGTGTGTTGTGTGTGCAACTTCTGTTTACATGCAGCGGCAAATCTGTGTGTGGAGTCTCGTTAATTCACGGGCGATTTAACTTCCAATTAGCTGTTTTAGCTCTCCATCCAGAACACACACCAGCAGAAAATATCCTCTCTACCAGAGTTAATTTCACAGAGAGCCTGAAACATGGCCTTGTACCATAACACGTCAGCAAGTTTGGAACACACCCCACCACCACCACCACCACCCCTCAGACCGTATCACTTCTCCCAAATAAACACAGATGTTAATTAATTCCTCCAAATGCGATTAAATGTGTTGCTTACTGACGACTAATAACTGCAATTACTGCAGGCATGAAGAAAATAGAAGTAACTGAAGCCAGTCTCCGCCTTTTAGGCTCCCTTGTCATATTTATTTATAATTAAGTTGGATTGGCTCCAGGGTTTTGTGTGTGTGTGTGTGTGTGTGTGTGTGTGTGTGTGTGTGTGTGTGTGGTGTGTGTGTGTGTGTGTGTGTGTGTGTGTGTGTGTGTGTGTGTGTGTGTGTGTGTGTGTGTGTTTTCCAGCACAGCAGCCCTCTCCCTGCATCACTGGGTTTGTATCTCCCAGTGGTCACAACAATGGCTTAGTGCC